GCATGATGCATGTTTGTTCCTCTGTATATTACAGGTTTGCAAACCGAAGTGAAAAAAATCCAGTTAAGGCAAGTGCTTGAGTTCAGTATCCTTTCTCTGACAGCAGACAGTGAGGTAGGCAGAGAAGAAGCATGCCAAGGCTACAGTTGCGTTTCTAATAGATGCATCCTACCAGTTTGGGGACTTTCTAAGCCATTGGATTTGCACATATATTCTAGAAGCTTCTCTATTCCCTTTTTATCCCATTTCTGAATCTGATTTCCACAGCACTCTGCCACTCAGTTACACATCTGAAATACTGCCAACTGTTTTCCTGTGTTTTCTGGGGAGGTCTGTCCACTCCAAGCCTGCTGGATGCATTTTGCCTTCTGTCTTCGAATCACTCCTACTGAGATCTTACCCCATGGCCCTTGCCCTTGGAATCGTCTATTTTTGTAAGCAAAAAGCCATTCATTTCCATTATTCCAAGGTTGCAGCCTCACGAAATCTTGAAGTGCACACTGCTGTCAAAAAGAGTGGCCCTCTCTCCCACTTTTGTGCCATCTGTCTGACAATGCAGTGAGCCAGAATGGGAAGTTACTTGGGCTGGAAACAAACCAGCTACCTTGGTCCATTGCACTGTATAGCATCACGGTTGAAGATCCAAGAGAGAGGTGTGAGAGTACTTTAAGAAGCAAGGAAGACGTGGGATCATTTTTTGATTCAGCAAAAAGCGCCTTTGCATCACAAGACTGCATCCCAAAACTATCTCCCTGCCTCCAGCAGCTTTTTTCCTTCATGACTTTAATAGTAAGCCTAAGAAGGCATGGCCTCCCAAGCTGTTCCCTCCTGGAAGCCACAAAGTCACCAGCTGTTTTCAGCCTGAAGGTCAATGTTGTCTAAACAGGATAGCTTTAGTTAGCAAATGGAAAACAGCCCTTTACCAAAGAATGACTGTGGGAAGCTGTCACTGCATGTGCAGCCCCAGTAGTCTGGCTTGCTGCTCCATCCCATCACTCGTTTTTATTTCAGCTCTGTGAGCTGGCCCACAATTTACAGCTGAGATAGCCATTTCGGATTGCAAGCCATGCCTGCCTCAGCTGTCAGTCACGGCTGAAAGCAGGGTGGCATTCACTAGTAAGCCAAAGTTGTGCTTTCTTTCCCTTGTATGAAAGGGCATCTTGCCACCATTTTTATTTCTATTTTAGACAATGGCTTCTCTCTGAGCACCTCAGCAGGAACCATCAGAAGGCACTGCTTCACACAAAGGAAGAATATGGCTAATCACTTTTTCCAGGAACCACAGAAGCCCAGATGCCACCAGTAAACAGCTTCTGGGTGGAGATGAGGCACCCAGCTCCCTGCAGAGCCCTGTACTGGCTGGCTGAGTCTGTGGCAGTGAGTTGAATGTGGAAGTACCATGCACAAAGGCCAATTGGCAGTAAATGCTATGGGTGAGTATTCTTAAGCTCTGTTACTCCTTCAACATGGAATCTCTGCTCCCAAACTGCCTTTTAGAAACATTGCCCAGCTTATGCATGACTAGGAGAATGGTGTGAACTAAGAACTGTTCCCAAAATACCTTTGTATGTATGCATACGGGCAGCCTATCCTAACTGGAGGGAGACAGCCTACTTACAGGACCAGTGTCATGGTGCTGCGTTTGCCTTCAGGGTCCTTGGACATTTTACATAGTAGTTAATAGTTTTAATAGTGACTAAGAACTAGAAATCTCAGGGTTTTTTTTTTCAGATAGTCAATCTGGTTGTAATCAAAGGCAGCAAAGGTTAAGAGAGCTGGAAGCAATCAGATCACAGATCACCAAGTAGTAGACACAGATCTTTTGTTCAGTAATGGAGCAAATTTTATTAAGTTGGTGCCACCCAAACCATTCTGTCATTGTATGTTTCTATGACTGATTCTATGATTCTATGAATTATGATCTGAATGTAGGTATTAAAGCACTGGATAAAGTCTCTCCACAGATTGGACTGAGTCATGCTTAACGACACAGAAAAAAAATGGCTCTTAGGGCAGGCAGTCTGAATATAGCTTTTGCTTTGATCTTAAAATCCAGGAATAGAAAAAGGATGAAAGGAATAGAATTGAAACACCTAAGAAATCCTTCCACCCAATCTTTGCCATAGAAAGATTTAAAGTCTCCCCTGCCTTGTTAACTGGTTTCTTTCTAAACAGTGAAAAAAAAAACCAAACATTTATTTCATTAGTGTTATCCCATAGGCCTTAAATCTCACTCTTAAAATATCATGAATAGCCTTTCTGATTTCCCTATCTCCCTTTTCCATCAGGGGAACCTAAAAGTTACGTTTGGATTAAATGATTAAGGAAGGATTAATCTTTCTTAAGTTCAAAAGTCTAAAAGGAAATTTGTCTGCTCTTAAGGGAGTTGAGACAAATTGAGTTAATCTACTACTGAAAATGCCTATTTCCCTTTCATTACGAAAGAAATCAAACTGATGAATTTTAAATATCTAATGCCAAAGGTATCCAAATAAGGACAGATCTCTTGGTATGTATGCAGAGTAACTGGCATGATTCACAGCAGTGTCTTGATTGTTCCATGGGATTCCTCCAAATCACCAAAATGCATACAAATGTGGGGAAGTGGGAACTTCACAACCTTTGGTTCGAGCAATTTGATTGTCTTTGAGCCATATTTTCACAAGTTTGGTGCAGCAGGGCTGTGCATTCTAACATAATTTTGATAGACAGAACCACATATGATGAGAGGAGCACAAATCCAGACAACAGCGTAATCCTGATAAGAAGCTCGAGGGCTCAAGAGAGTTCATACTGATACGGCAAAGTAAAAACCAGATAAACAAAATATGGCATTTCAGACACATTGAGGATCAGTCTTTTACCAACAGAAGCCAATGGTAACCCTCCCATACATGGCCAGTGTCTGCCTTCCTTTCTTGACCACCTCCATTTGGAAGGTGGAAAAATATCCCATGTCCCTCCAAACTGTTCGGTCTTTGTTCTCTTCCTTTCTCAAGGAATAGCCTTGCTTTGAATACACACTGCCCTGGGCTGGTCAGCATTGGTTGGCAGCACAGCCCAGGGAAACCAGAGTGGGAGATGTTTTGCAGAGTTGCTCCAATAACATAAGTGAAAGGAAAGCCCATGTAATTGCAAGAAGCTTGGCAGAGCAGTGAAATGTTTTCTGTCCTTCATTTGCAGCTATTTTCCTTGCTTTTGATGAGATTTTAGGTATGACTTTTCTGAGTAAATATAGATATCTAGTTTATACTAATACCTGCACTTGAACTAATCACAATTCATATACATTCCATAGAATCTTAGGATGGTTTGGATTGAAGGGACTTTAAAGACATCTAGGGCCAGCCCCACGGCAGGGACATCTTGCACTAGACCAGGTTGCCCTAAGCCCTATCCAGCCTAGCCACTCATAGTCCATAGATAGAAATTGGCATCTCAAGGACACATTAGATACATGTAAGACAGATCAAAGTCCTGTAGATTCCTACTCATAATTCTCCCAATTCCTATTTTTTCCTGTAGGCTATAGATGAGTTTCAGTCATTAGCACAGATGAAGGAGTGACATTCTAGATGTCTGAAGCTGGGTGAATTGAATCCCACCTGTAGTCTCATGAGGTCCTTTGTAGCCACCCCTTACCATTATTGAAGGAAGAAAGGTCTCTTTATCAAGCAGTTCACCTGATCTATTGTAAACACAGCCCTCCAGAAACACCTTTTCCCTGCACTGACTTTTAGGAAAGTTTCTGTGACTAGATGAGGGTGAGCAACTAGGACAAGTCCTAGCTGTGAACCTCCTGCCCTATGTATTTTTCCAGCCCTACCAACCCATGATCAGGAAAGATGAACAGATACATAAATAGCTGCATGGAAAAACTCCTGGGATGACCATGGGCAGGGGTGGTTGTTTTGCTTAGGGCTGATTAAAGCTATGAATTTATTATCTTTGAGTGAGTCCAAGTGAATGTCCTGTTGTTTCCATACTAAGGGGCATGGTTTGAACCTGAAGTTATGGTGACCCAGTCAAACAGCTGATTATTCACCCTAGAGCAAAATAATATGCAAACAGAGTGCACAACCAGGAGACAAGGACACAAGAACAAAACAGAGGTGTGCTAACATATCATGCTTAGCCCAGCAAAGTGAATGTTGAGTGGGAATACAGATACCTGAGAGAACTCCTACCAGGAGTTATTCATTTATGCTGAAAGTCATTACTGGCACACAAAGAGAGGTTAAAGATTGATCCAACATAGACTTAGGTTGCAAATCAGAAGGCTATTTTGGGTGACTGGAGCAGGATTGTTCCAGTCTAGGTGGTACTGAGTCAGAACGCAACCAATGAATAACTTCCTACCTCTAAAACAGGATCTAGAAAGAATTTGGCTGACATCTGAGACAGAAGGAGATCCTTTCCATGGCTCTGAATCTCTTTGTGTCCTTGTCTTTGATCTGCCTGATCTACCTTGACTCTGGTGCAGCTGTATACTACATGTACCTGGTATAGCGCATGTTATATCAGAGCAGGTGAGAGACAAAGATTAAATAAGTGTGTAGGAATCCATTTTGTCCACATCAGTAGTTAATATTCACTACATCCCACTTCAGACAATGGCTTTCAGCTCCGGATTCGTGCACCATGTTCAAGGCTTATTGCCTTCTTTTCTGTCAGTGGTGGGAAAACAGCTCCTCTAGATGCAGTTTATCTGACCCATCTTAGATGTCTACTCTACGAGGATACAAGAAAAAAAATAGCCAAAAACAGTACCAAAAAGACACAGCAACATCAAAAAAAAAACAACCAAAAAACCCCAAACCAACACGTGTGAAGGGAAAGTCTTATTGAAACAACTGAGCCAAGTGGCAAACTTACTACTGAGAATGTTTTTCTTGAAAGATTCTCTTCTCACTAATGCGTTTAAAAAGTCATCCAGAGTATTGAGAAATTGAAGGAAGGGCAATAAACTGTCAGTAGTTTTGTGCATTATGAAATCACTACCCACAAGAAATATGAGATATATTTCATATTTATTCTGAGAACTGACAATTTTGGAACACCGTGAGTGGTTCTCAGTCTTCTAGATGAATTTTCTGACTATATTTTCATATAACAAAATACCCATTAAAATAGTATTTATAGTTCAATTAAGAAAAAAGTACCTCTATTAATTTTTAAACTACTTTCTCCCACCCCCGATCTCTTCCAACAAGATTGCTTGAAAAGCTGCTTTGCTGCAAGGATAGTTAAACTTTAGCTGTAAAAGAGACCTGAAATGCAGTTCATCTGGGAAAAAAAACAATGTACCAACAAATATGTCACGTTCTTTATTAAGGACCCTGGATTTGGCAGTGCTTCTCCAGGTATGACTTTGCCAAGAGAGGATCTTCAAAAGAACTGGTCTCTTTGTTAACTGTGAGTTAAGAAGATGTCTTCCTTCAATCAGGTTGTAATCATATCTAATGTTATTAACAGCTGCAACAGTAATACTGATTGTACTTACCTGGAAAACCACACCTTATTTCTTTGTCCTGTGTGGGTAAACATGGCATTTATTATACTTTCTTTGCTTTGAGCAAGCTAGAAGTTAGCATCTGATTTAGTCATGGCAATGACTGGAAGTGAACTTTGCATTCATTTCAGCCCAATTAAATGCTTCCAGTTACCTTGAAACAGTATTTTCAGGCCTACGTTTAACTAAAAAACAAACAAACAAAACAAAACAAAGCAAAACAAAACCAAAAACCAACCAGCTGAAGCAGATCTATTTTCTATTCAGAATTCTTATTTTTCTTTGAAATCAGAACAAAAAGTTTTCAACTGCTCTAATTACAGTATCTACTAATTCAGTATTTAGCTGTTGTTTCCTAGTCATTTCAGATGTAATCAGCTACCTTGCCTTGTTGCTCATACTGCGGAAATCTTCAGCTCAGGATCAAGACTTTCCTGTTTTCCCTTTTTTAAATGCCTTCTGTTCCAATGTCGACCACAGGTTCATTAGAAGTGACATTACCTCATTTTGGTTCCATTCACGTTCCTTGTTCCTGTAACAGCTTGGCTGCTACAAAAACACAAGAATACTTTTTTATTCCCATTGGCAGCAAGCTATGTAAGGCAAAACCAATATTTCATGATGTACGTAAGGCTTATTACTGCAGCAGATGGATACTCAAGAAATTGTAACATACTCAGTGACTTAGGCTAGAGCACAACTTTCTTGTGTTTCTTCCAAGAGATGTTAGGAAGTGTGCAGGAGCATGAGTACAGTGCCAGCTCCACCATCTCAGAAAGAAAACTTGTACATCACTAGATGGTTTCATTTCCAGCTTCAGCTATGAAGAGCTATGTAGAGTTAATAGTACTTCTCTTCCGGTACACAAGACCACACTATTCTGGGCTAGGGAAAACAGATCACACCTCGGCTGAATTGTCATGTTTAGGTTTTGGTTTTTGGCTACAGGGCTCTTTTCACTTGCCTTCAAACATCAAGCTGGATGTTAGGATGTGTTTTCTGAAAGAGTGGTGATGCAGTGGCACAGGCTGCCCAGGAAGGTGGTGGGGTCACCATCCCTGGAGGTGTTCAGGAATGTGGAGATGTGGTACTAAGGGACATGTTAGAGGGGTGGGTTGGGGTTGGACACGATGATCTTAAAGATCTTTTCCAGCCTTAGAAATTCTATGATCAATTTCTAAAGTCCAATCTTATGATGAACTATTTTTCATTTTGCTGAGTAATTTATGGCTCGAGATCCAGTGCTCAAGAGATCCAACTGCATTTCAGCAAAAGCTTCTATTTCATTGCTTTTTCAGATGAGCCCAGGATCTGCAGGGGATCCTTTTCTCTCTTTTACAATCATAGAATCATTCTGCAGGAGCATCAAGCATATTTATCTCACACAAAAAGCAATGGGAAAGTAGATGGAGTTTGATATCTCATATGCATGAGCCTGATACAACTCTGCTGACTCAGCAAAACCCTGTCATCCCAATTCAGTAGCTGCACAAGCTTTGCAGCTGGTGTCTCTTTTAAGATATTATTCAGGAGCTTGCATACACTGTGATCAATCTACAGACTCCAATTTTACATTTACGACTATTAAAACAGAACCAGACTAAAATAATATCTTTATAATATGGTAACTGTTGATAAAACTTCCACAGACTGCCAGATTGCACTGGCTGGAAGAGACTCACTGAAGCCAGAGAAATATTTCCAAACAACTCCAGTTCTGCAGATGGTTCTGCTATTGGGCCTCTTTTCAATTTCGTTCTTAGGAAAATTAATCCTCTTGAACAAGATCTCCAGAATGTGCAACATTTAGCTGCAGTCAAAAGCAACAGAGCACATTACTCTGGATTTCTCAGGCTCTGTCTTGATTTTTTTTTTAGATTTTAATGTATTTTTGTCTTTGTAGTGGCAAAATTATTTAAGAAAGTGCTGCTGTGCTTGCAGTTCGCTTTACATTCAGGTGTTCTAACTTGTTCTATCTCATCCTAGTCACAATGGGAAAATTACTAGGTGCTCATTGCCTGCTCTGTTTTTCAGGGCTTGTATTGGTAAATTATCTATTTTTAAGATGTTTTTTAACTTAAAGTTTGCTTAGATTTGTGTGTGTGGCATTAGCCTAAAAGAAAATTTTCCATAAACACAAAAGAACAGATAAATGAATCACTCTATGAATATTTTGGGCAAATAAGAAAAGTGCATTATCAGTAAACTTGAAATGAATAAAAAGCAATCCCTGGTGAACCATTGGGAAGATATTGTACTATTGTAAAATCTTCAGGTATAGATGTTGGCATAATGATGATTTGCTGTAATGACACATGGAAAGGAAGAACATAAAAGACCAGAGAAAGGAATAAACTGTAGGAGGTTGGTGCACAATAATCATAAAGTCACAGAATGGCCAGGGTTGGAAGGAAAACCTCAAAGATCATGAATCTCCAACCCCCCTGCCACAGACAGGGCCACCAACCTCCCCATTTAATACCAGACTAGGCTGCCCAGGGCCCCATCCAACCTGGCCTTGAACACCTCCAGGAACAAGGCATCCACAACCTCTGTGGGCAGCTGTTCCAGCACCTCACCACTCTGGTAGTGAAAAAAATCCTCCTGACATCCAACCTGAATCTTCCCTTCTTCAACTTAAAATCATTCCCCCTTGTCCAGCTGTTATCTACCCTTTCAAAGAGTTGACTGCCCTCTATTTATAGGCTCCCTTTAGGTACTGAAAGGCTGCAATGAGGTCATCCTGCAGCCTTCTTCTCTCCAGGCTGACTCATCCTGTCTTGGTAGGGGAGGTGCTCCAGTCCCCTAATTATCTTAGTGGCCTCCTCTGGACCCTCTCCAACAGTTCCCTAATGAAATAATTGTTGCATTATTAATAGGAATTAGGAAAAGAAAAAGGTAGTTTCACAGTGTTAGAGTCACTGTAACTGAACTAGAAATAACTGCTTGCATTTTCACAAGGATGTCAGAAAACTGAGCGGAACAATAATCACAATAAGTTAACTGAATTATCCTTTTCTTTTTGGTAGCCAATCACAAAACTCTGCTCATAGAGAACAGGGCATCAGGATGAGCAGGAGGACACCTAATGGAGTCTGTATAGAGTTTACAAGCTCAGGTTTCACAGAGTGCTCAGATGTGTGAACAGAGAGCAGTTCATCAGAGACATCCAGCAAACTCAAAGTGAGCCACAGCCATTTTTCTTACACAATCTGCCCCTAGAAAAGCGGGAAATACCTCTGAGGTGAGTGTTGCTTTATGGTCTATTTCTGCAGCCTATATTTAAAATCAGCCTACAAATAATGCAATTGGTGTAACAAAGGAGGAGTATTTTACATATGAAATAACTCAAGCTCTCCAGATAAACTTTACTTACCAGTGACAGAGAAAGTTCCCCTTTCTGTGATTCTGATGAGATAAGCATTTTCTCCTTTAGCTTTCTGAATTTTTGGCATACATTTTAGAGTATATTTACAATAGCAGAGCTATGTTACAACAATTCCAATGGTTTGGGTTTTGTTGGAGTAGGGAAAAGGATGCTAAATGAAAGGATAAAACGTGATAGATAGACAGCCTTCCCAAATGTGCCAAGATACTTTATTGTCACAGTTGATCAGAGAGCATGTGTTATGAGCCCACAGAGTGCTTGAAATTGTGCAAGGCATATCTGGCAGCAGAGACTAACAGATCAAAGTTCAGCTTCAATAACTGACCTCTGCGTTTGAGGCCACAGGGGCTGAGATCAGTTTCTCCCAAATTTTACATTAAAATATTACAGAATCACAGAATCGTTAATGTTGGAAAAGACCTTCTAAGATCTTCTAGTCCAAAGACAAAGTGGCACTTTAAGAAAGATGTTTGAAGCAAGTGTTGGGCCTGTAAAGACTATAAGCAGGGAGGAAAATGTTCCCCATCACCTCTATCACACTCTCCAAACATTTCCAGATAAAGAGTATTTAGAGGGAATGGTTTTATACTGAGACAGGGGAGGTTTGGGTTGGATATTAGGAGGAAGTTTTTCACTCAGAGGGTGGTGAGGCACTGGAACAGGTTGCCCAAGGAGGCTGTGGATGCCCCATCCCTGCAGGCATTCAAGGCCAGGCTGGATGTGGCTGTGGGCAGACTGGGCTGCTGGTTGGTGACTTGCACACAGCAGGGGGTTGGAACTGGATGAGCATTGTGGTCCTTTGCAACCCAGGCCATTCTGTGATTCTATGATTCCATGATTCCATGATTCTATGATTCTATGATTTTTAGGTCTCAAGTGCCCAAAAACAGAACTCTTTGCAAATCAGCAATAGAAAAGAACTGTACTTTTAAAGGTTTTCTAAGAGAGATTGCCACCATTCCCCTTAAATGGAGTTCCACTGAAGCCTTGTTTTTTTTTTTCACTCTTGTCTCTGCAGAGTAGAAGCAGGAAGGAAAGTGTTTCAGTTCTGCATGATTACTTTCTCCTTACAGAGAAAAAAATATCCCTGGGGCATTAGCCATTACCATACTCATGGTAGGAGTTTGCTGGCTGTTAACTGCTTCTTGCCTTTGGGACCCTTAGCTAATAACAGATCAGCCATTCATTCATTTCTGATAAGGCAACTGAGCTCTTTCTTTTCCATCCTTCTCAGCAGGGAAAAGGATGCTGTGGTCCATAAACTTTCTAGCATCTCACAAGCACTCTGAGATTTGAAAACTGCTTGTCACACTATTGTAACAGCTTTGCAGCTATGGCAGGCCAGGCAGCAGTCACAACATTTCAAATGGTGGCCAGACAGAAACATGTCCTTCATCACACAGATCAAGAAACTTCTTGAGCTGCTACGTTGCCTGAAAATGCAACCTACAGATATGGTTCTTTGCCTCAAGGCTAACACATTACAAATGACAGCAAAGAGCTGAAAAGAGGTCTGGCCAGTACTAGAGGAAAAAGCAGGCTTAAGGAAACCTTGTAGATCTATTTATGGCAGTGTCCTGCTTGTTCTGCAAGTTTGCTATGCAATTTGCAAGTGAGCTGTGGGATTGATTCTCAGTGAATGTAGGCAGGAGATATATCACTAAACAGTGCCATGCCGTTTAACTCCAGACATAAGACCTGTGGTATCTGATGACCCACCTGACATTGCAAGGTCTCCCGGATCCAGGCTGCTACAGACTGACAAGGTGAGTTTCATGCTGATGCTTCTGATGGTAGTAACCATTTAGGTGTTTTCTCTCAGCTCCCCTGGATGACAGAGGATGAAAATCATCTTAGTTTTGGTACACGTTACACTAACATGGTAGTTGGAATTAAAGAACCTTGTAGACGCCTTCCAGCTCTTCTCTTCTCTTCTCTTCTCTTCTCTTCTCTTCTCTTCTCTTCTCTTCTCTTCTCTTCTCTTCTCTTCTCTTCTCTTCTCTTCTCTTCTCTTCTCTTCTCTTCTCTTCTCTTCTCTTCTCTTCTCTTCTCTTCTCTTCTCTTCTCTTCTCTTCTCTTCTCTTCTCTTCTCTTCTCTTCTCTTCTCTTCTCTTCTCTTCCATCCCATCCCGTTCTGTACTGTTCTGTCTCAGCTTGTGTTCTCTATTTGGCACATGGTAGGATCATAGACACTGACTATACTTGATTTAGTGATTGCCAACCCTGCCTGCAGCAGAAGGTTGGAATTAGGTGATGTTTGATGGCCCTTCCAAACCAAGCCATTCTATGATTCTATGTTATTTCATTTAGATGTTGTACAGAAAAGGACCTCTTTAAGTTAAAAATGACCACCTATTCAAAATTTACTTCAGAGAAGGTGCAGCAGTTCTTGAATTAGAAGAACTGTCATTTCCCTTAGCAAATGCAACCTTTAGCTCTCTACAAAGGTGGCCAAGGCAAAAAGACAGGAGAATTGGTGTATTTCCCTAAAATATTGTTGATTTAACTCTAGATGACAATTTACCTGTAGTGCAAGCCCACACATTTTCAAATGGCCTCACAGGTGAAGCTTTGCTGTAATCCAAACCAAGATATGCATATCTGTGTGCTCTCTTGCCTTTGAACTCATTGAACCAAGGTATATGGAAAACAGTTCATTTTTTTAATCACCTTCCAGTGTTTGACCTCTGCAGTGCTATCATTAACCCTTGTCATTACACAGAAGATACAGGTGATATGGAAGTGGGGTGAAAAGGGACAAGGGTTGCTTCAATAAAGTCAAATGCCAACTCCCCTGCTGGGTTCATTCCTACATCTCTGCTAATGACATTTTCATTAAGTGAACAAAACAAACCTCACAGGAAAATCATGTTTAAAGATTTATTTTGTATATAGTGTCTACAACTGGCCTCTGCTTTCTTCTCTTTTCATCAGTCTCTGCTGAGTTTTTAAACATTTGGCATTTTTTCTGAGGTTTCCTTGGACTTGTTCACATGGGGAGGCAGACTGAACACATCTATTAAATACTTTGAGATCTGGAGCACAGTTCTGGTGACTGAAATTTGGTGTCTGGTTCCTCCCTTAAATCTCAACTAGAGAAAATATTGCTGAAAAAAACATGTTGGAAAGAAAATTCCTTCTGTATCTTACAGCATCCATAAAAAAACCTTCTTACACCATTTCCAAAAGACTGAAAATCACTATTATTTTATTCTTCTTAATACCCTTTCACAAAAACCTGTTGGGTGACTATGGAAATAAATATCCTACAACACAATTTGCTCACTTGGATTACTAGTTTATGTTTGCTGGGACACTTTTTCCCCTGCAAGATATCAAATGCTGTTTCCTAGAAAATAAGGTTAGAAGGGAATCAGAAAATCTCCTCTCCTCTCCTCTCCTCTCCTCTCCTCTCCTCTCCTCTCCTCTCCTCTCCTCTCCTCTCCTCTCCTCTCCTCTCCTCTCCTCTCCTCTCCTCTCCTCTCCTCTCCTCTCCTCTCCTCTCCTCTCCTCTCCTCTCCTCTCCTCTCCTCTCCTCTCCTCTCCTCTCCTCCCTTCAACTCCCCTCTCCAATTAGCAAAAAAAAAAAAAAAAAAAAATCCCCAAATTCCCCTCTCCTTCATTCTTAACTACATCACATTTGCCTTCCAATCATGAAGTGGTTCCTGGGCTTTCTCCATGCCTTCAGACGATTTACACATGAGGAGCTGAAATCAGAGAATAATTCTACTTTTTACAAATTATGTAGACCACACCCTGCATCTCCCACTGCTTCTTCATGTTCTTCTTTGACTTCATGTTCTCAGAGAACATGGCACAGAAGGTTTTATTTCACTGGTAATAAAATGTTCATGATGAGGAGGTTGGGACGTCTAAGCAAGAGCACAACATTTATTCTTCAGTGTAACTAAGCTTTGCTATTTACTTTTTGGTTAAACTTTTCCACTGAGCATTATGCAATCATCAGTACTTGTTGGTGCACTGACTTTCTTGGTAAGCTGAACACTTAGACTATCAGCAAAGGTGGAATTCTTGGACTCCCCATTCTGTTGAAGCATAAATTGGACCACTGACAGAAAGATGCTCTCACCCTCCTTCTGCTCACCTGTCTGCTCACTCCTGTCCACCCACACCATATTTTAGCAAGTAATGCCACAAGCATTCCTGTGACCACCATTTGGATGGCTCAAGAAATGTCTTGCATTAAATGACCCCAAGAAAATATATTTAGTTTTATTCTGGATCACCTTTCTCTCCCAATTTAAGGCTGCCTACGTGAATGTGACGATTTGATTGAAAAGTTGGCAGAGAATGGGGTTCTCTTGGAGGGAAGTATGAGTTCATCTCCACTGGCAACAGTGGCAGCTGAAGCTGACTGCAAAACTATGGGCCCTGGCTGATGGCCCACACACACAATGAAGTTATGGACTTCAAAGAAAACTGACAAGAGTGGACAGGCATTGCAATAGGCTGCTCGGGGATGTGGTCAAGTTGCCATCCCTGGAAGTATTTAAGAGACGTGTAGATGTGGAGAGGTATGGTTTATTCCTGGACCTTGTCATGTGGTGATTGGACTTGATGATTTTATTGTTCATTTCCAACCAAAATGATTGGTTGTATGCTTAATGTACAGAGTCTTCGAGAAAATGGGAATGATGTCCATTAAGGCCTTAATAATCCAGCTGCAACCAGCTGACCACAGTGCTTGGAGGAATGATTTGGCTGTCCAGCAGACCTGATATAATAAATTACATGAAAAAAGACATTGAACTGCAGCAAGAAGTCATTGTAAGTCAAACGAATGGCTTCCTTTCTGTGTGTGGCATACTGCTCAAATCTTTTTAATATTTACTTGCAAATAGGAGCCAAAGAAGCATCAATCCAAGCTTGACAAACTCACACAATGACAGACAACTGAGCGAGGTGAAACAAAACATCTGGAGCTGCTTGCTCTTTGATGTGTGAAAAAAAGAATTCAGATAACTGGCGTAAACTTCACACTCTACTTGGACAGAGTTAAAATTCATTGACAACCTCATTTTAAATCATCAGGCAAGGATGTAAGGGGTTTGGGATCACTTCCCAACTCTATAACAATCTGTTTTCTTAACCCCCATCAAGTCACTTAATTTCTCCATGACAATGCTCACCATCTGTAAGACATTTTTTTTGCCTGACTCGTTTGCTAAGAAACTGAACTGTTGAAGTAGGAGCCATAAATCTTACCCTAACTTCAGTACTGAGAAAAAAACCCACCACATTGTTCTCAGTGAGGTGTTGTAATTTAGTTTTCATCTTTGTTACAGTTTTCTTTAGATTGAGTGAATTTACTAGCATGAAGGGTGTCAACAGCAAACCCGGACATATCGTGAACCTATTTCCCCACCCCAGTTCTCATTGTTTATGTTAATTTAATTTCAAGAAAGCAAAAAACAAACGAACAAACAAGCAAAAAAATTCTGATCAGCATTGCTAAGTTTGGATATGGACTTGTGGGCTGTTTCTTCCCATTCTCCACCTTTCTTTTGCCTTCCCATTGCTTTGTTGTTGTTTTTCCATCCCATAACAATCTCCTTTTCAGGGAATCCTATAGTTAGGTTTTCTCAAGAGTCCAATAAGATTTACTCATAGCTTCCCTTTGGGTGACCTTGTGTTGCTGAAATCAATGTTGCAAAAGTAGACGACCACTAAAAAATATACCAAAGATGCATGTAAGCAAATTTTACTATAGGACTGGGACTCTGGGGGTTTTCTACTTTTCTTTTTATAATATGGTTCTAAATTAGGCTTTGCCCTCCCAGATTCATCAGACCATAATGCGATTGCATGACCACAGGTTACGCATCCTACGGAATAAATGAATTTTATTTAAATTTGGGGCAGGCGTAGAGAAGTAATTCCTTTTATAAGCAGAAGAAAATGGAAAAGAAAAGCAGTTCCATGAGCAGCAGATCTTATGGAGTTTTGTCTCCTGCAGCTCCATCCTTCCTGTTACTTTGGTAAGGATTTCACTCTGCAGCATATTGCATGAGAATGGTTCTTTCCTGGAATTTTTCTTCTTCACACAGCAACATATTTTCACAAAACTTGCCGTAATTTTGTATTTACAGAACTTTTGTCCAGCTGTTAAAGTTATTTAAAATTGAGCAACAGGTTCAAAAGTTACTGAGACAACATCTGAGAGTCCTGACATGCAAGCAGACAAGGACAGGGTCTAAACAAATCTGTAATAGAATTAAGTAAGTGTACTGCTGTAAAATAACTGTAATAGATTTTATTATTCTGATGAGGAAGAACAGAACTAAATATGATTGATACAGATTTTTCTTGAATTTTCCCTTAATACTGCAAAACACCAATATTTATCAGTGCTTCTCTCATTTTTTCTATTCATCAGCAAAGTAACAGCCATAGGAATTGTTCATCAGTGTATGAAGGTCCTCATTATCTTTGAGTTTCACTTCTGATACCTGCAGTTTCCTTGCAGCTTCTCACCAGAGCATAAGTAAAACACAGCTGGAACTACACAGATTCCAATATCAAATGTTGCATTTTGCTGAGATAGAAAAATATAATAAGAACTGCTGGTATAGAAAATAGCCCTGCCACAATTTCTATCACCTCATTTTAGCTATCTAGAAATCTGCTCTAAAGCAGTCATCCAGGCTCCCTCTAGAGTCCGTGATGAGAGATCAGCTTCTCCAAAGAGCAGGCTTGGGTAGGTCTCTGTGATGAACCAATCCCTGGTACAACACCTACACAATTAGTTTAGACAGATTACAACCTTTAAATGATTAAATTTAACTGTATCTATTTCCTTGTACTACAAAAGAAGGCTGTAAAACCCTATAAAACCGGTGTGTCACAAATACAGTGAAGCCTAAGGTCAAGGAGTCAATAATACAGCCAGTGCATTAACCCAGACTGCTAGACCCCAGGCAAGGGCACAACTATTTTGGGTAACCAATAGTCAATCCAAATGTGACATTCAGTGATGATTCTAGAGCAGTTTCTGAATTCAGCTCAGTGCCTTTTGTCATAAGGTAGTCCATCACTGGAAAATTAGAAGTCATGGAGATTCCTCTGAAGGCATACAGCAGCAGGAGGAGATCATAGAACCACAGAATGGCTTGGGTTGGAAGGGACCCCAAGGATCATCAAATCATCATCATGTTTGAAGAACAAATTCTTGAGAAAGTGAAGGCGTAATTGATCACTATCACACAACAGCCTCAACTTTGAGAAGGGCAGATGATTTCTTTATGTTAGATCACTGAGTAATAAAGCACAAAATAGTCATAAAGCTGGGATGTTCAGCACAAATACTATAGAATAGTGAGGTTTTGTTTGTTTGTTCCTTGATGGTGTTTCTTAATACAAAGTCATTGCTTTTAGAAACCAGGCTAAAAGTTAGAGTGAATTAAACCTGGCTTAGAGCAAGACACAGTTCATGGGAACCGACACGTGGGATTAACTGAACAAACATTGGTTGTCTAAAATATCAGATTTTCCTCTTTGCAGATTGCAAAGAGTACCTGGTCAAAGGTTTTCTCAAAGGATGGCATCTCACCACGTCACCTTCTGGAAATGCCTGCCTCCTTCCACGAACTCTCAATTTGACTGGACATCTAACTTTCAGACTTATAACCTTAGGTGATATCACTTAATCTTCGTGTTTAAGTAGCACTACTAGGACCAAAAGGACTACTCTCATTGTTACCTTTAAAGCTGGTAATGAACTGTTAATCTCCTTTTCCACCTTCAGGAACACTGTGGCTGTTGTAAGAGAATGACAAGTCTGGAGTCTTTTCACTTGCAGTTGACTCCTAAATATTCCTATACCTTCACCTTTGGATGACTGAACATCTGGCTGAACCTCATCTCTAATTTTAGCTGTCTTTATATGCAAGTTGAATCCCACCTGCAGTAACTGTCCTACAGGAAGTCTCACAGGAAAAAGTTTTCTTAGGTTTGTGTTTTAATGTCATTCAAATCCTAAACAAGAGGCTAAATTTCCTGGCTTTATATCCTAGGAAGAGACAGGCATTATTCCATTCTACAAGCAAAGACCTGATTAAAATGTTGCCAGACTTAATCAGTAAATTGATGGCAAATCTCTGCTGTCTCACTACAAACAAAGCCAATACAAAAAAGGCTTATTGACCGTTTGATCCAGCTCCATTTATTTCAGGAAAAGTTGTTACAGAACATGTAAGGAAATGTATGCTGCTGCATATTCAAGCAATTGTCAAAGTGTCAGCCCCTATTATACCTGAAGGTTCATTTCCAGTCCCCTCGGATGGGCAGAGACCAACTTTTTCATTGCAGCTGCAAAGTACTTAAGGCCAATTTATACTCAGTGACAAAACTGTTCCCTAGCTCACTTTTCCTTCCCCACCCTTCATCCACTCATCTCACACACAGGCAAAGGTTTATGGTCTGCCCTGAGATGTTCTGCTTGACAGATGCAGTTCCTGTCCCCACCAGTTCAAACGAGACCTTGGGGCTGCCTCCTTGGATGCACTTGTGCATGCCATTGGACTGTACCCTCACGAAAGCAATGAAATGCAGATTTTTAGCAACCAGCACAGATTTTTAGCAGCAAGCACTTGGGCAACTGGCTTAGTGAATTGCTAGACACTGATTCACCTCTTCTGGAAATGGATTAGTTCCAACTAGTTGAATATCTCCAGGCAAAGCTCAGTTAAAAATTGCTGACATCTCACAGAAATGTTGAACCAACTTTCTATTTCAAGACCTCTGTCTATGTAGCATATCACCCACTGTTTTTTTTCAAGGCTGTTTGTTGGGAGCAGGGATCTTGATGTTTATCCTTTTCTGAAATCATAAATTCCTTCCTTTATTAGCTCACTAGAAACTCTCTTGGAGTTAATGAGTATAGAATGTCTTCAACTGGAGCCTGAGCAACAGCAGGGGATGGACAGAAAAACGAGATCAATTTCACCTAACTTTAGCCATCTGAAATTAAGTTCTCTACTTTAAAGTAATTCTCTCTACTCCTTCTAGAGACATTAGTTAAAGAAGACAGCACTGACTTTCAACCTCACCCAAAGATAAGCATCTGAGATACCCTAGAAATATATCTTTAGTTCAGGCTGAAGCTGAGAAGGTGAATTTTGCTTTTATTTTGGACAATGATTATATTATTTGCAGTACTACAGAAGGTCTTTTACCTCTCAGCTAAAGATTTGCCTCTCTCTGGAAGTTAGGATCAGTAACCAGTTCTTCCTTTTCTCTTTTTAGATATTTTCTCCCCACATTTGTGTCATTAGAATTCCATTCCTTTTTCTCTACTGCCACTGTTTGACATAAAAACTGTTCTGTTTGTCTTCATTATCTCCTTGCCACTGCATGTGTATGACTGCATACAAATGCTCATGAGTAAATAAAGACTAGGCACATGCATGTGGAATCTATACATGATTCAATTTATCACATTACTTGGAGAACAAGGAAAGAAAGAGAAGAAAGCTCATAGAAGTATGCTCAGCCTTGTTCAATTCTTCAGAACCAATCCCAAACATCTCCACTTGAAGATTTCCAATGGAAAAAACATTAGATGCAATGAACAGAAAAACAAATGCAACTGCCCAGCACATGGGGCAATGACATTACTCTTGCCTAAGGAGACTCTGGTATTTTGACATTTGTTTTCCTCCCTAATTGGAACAAAGTCAAAATGCTTAAACGTTCCTGGAGGGAAAAAATTCAGTTTGGTAAGGTCAGCATTTCATCTCAACACAAGAGATTGACATCAGTGGGAGATTGAGGAAATGCATCCCTTTCATTTAACGTTACCCATGGAATCAAGCTCACACCACATGGAAGATGTTGCTTTAGGTCTCTCCTTCTGCCCTGATCCCTGTGGGCCCAGCACTTTGGAAGTGCTCTTTCTCCAACGATGCGTAGCGTTTTTTGTTTTTCTTTCTTTGTTTCTCCAAATGGCCTGAGCTCAGAGTGGGCTGCCAATATGACACAATTTTTTCTGTGACTTCATGCTTATAATCATGGGATACAATACTGACTTCTTCCCTAGCTCTGACCATCTAGACCCTTCTGCTACAAACACCTGCTGTCTCACTGGAGGACCAGAAGGATTCAGTCTGAATACACATCACTACCATTGCAATGCCTCAAAGGATCTGCCTGGGATACTCTCCAGACTGGCAGGAGTCCCCCCTAAACGCAGTTTCCAGTCTTCCAATTCCACATGGATTTGCTGCACAAAGTATCTCACAAAACAGGAAATGCCTACCTTTTGGATAGTAAATCCCACTCTTACTGTTACTTAGGATAAGAAAACAACGAGCCCCATTCTAGACAAAACTAGATTTAGAGGTGACAGAAAGCAATACTTAAACTGCAACTGCACAAATCTGTTGTGGCCAGCTCCCATATTTACCATGCTTTTACAAAACCATTTGTCTCTCTATAGACCCAGATGGCCAGGGGCTCCATTTGTCTCACGGCTTCTGGCAGAGCAAGGCACACACATCGTTCTTTCTTTAGCTGCTCTGGAATTAATGAACACTGATTCCTTTCCATTTATTAGGAGATAAGATTTAACTTCTTTGCTCACTAAGTCTTGTTTCCTGTGACACCTGCAGCTTGTTTCAGGTTCTACTTCAGTTCTTCCACCCACTCTGATAAATGAGTTAATTGCATCCTGAAAAAGTGAAAGCAAATGATAGTTCACTGCTTAGATCACTACATCCATATCAGGCCCCATCTAGGATTCTGTAAACTATACTTTTGGGATTGGGTCAGCCTGTGGCCAGAGCTGGGCATCCAAACTCTTCCATAGATCCTTATAAACACAGCAGGTCACCCTGACACCACAGAGGTGCTGAAGAAAATTAAGTATACTGAGTAGCTCTCACTTCAGTGAAGAAAAACTGGGAAACATGACTTGCTCAAGTTCTAGGACGATGGAAAGAAGATCATTTCCACTGTTGTAAAGAAACAAAAGAAAGAAGTCAATGAAGTGAAAAACCCCATGGAGACAGGATGAGACTGCTGTGGAAATTTCTCCTGATACTTCAGTTGAACTGGATCCTTTTTAATTAAATTTCACTGTAAGATCTAATCTGGCACTCAAAAGGAACAAGTCAGTCTGTATGACTGGCCACAGATAAAGTTCCCTGCCTGTGCTCCAGCATCACTGAACTATCACTGAATAGCAGAAAAACTAAATACAAAAGGGACCTCAAGACATCGTCTGATCTCCCCCCCAGCTTATATTAAGAACAACTCTACCTCAGCTGTCCCTAACACATTTGTTTAAGCTCTTTTTCTTCCAAGCATCCCAAATGGAGAATATTACCTTGCCCATAGGCAGCAGAAGATAAAGTTCCACCCACTGAGAATTTCCCAGCCAGGATCACACACAGAAAAGTGGAGATAAGGATAAAGAAAGAATACCCACTACTCCCCAGCATGCTCAGTCCTAACAACAAGAGTCTGGTCCCTCAAATACAATACGTGACTTGATTCTTTTCACAGTTCTTCACACTGAGAAATAGTCCAGAAGAAGACAACGCCAAAGACATCTCTGTGAGAAATGTCTCAATTCAAAGATCTCATAATGAAAGATAGAAATTCATTGTCTGTGAGTACACCAATATTGAAGAGCAGGATCCTTGATTTGGAAAATTTACTATAAAAAGAAATTTAATTCAACACTCACTTCTGCTAAACTAGCACTAAGAAAAGAATTTTAATAGAGAAGCTGGAAAATGTTCCAGAACTGAAAAAACATCTAAAAAACAAACAAACAACAGAAAACTATTCCTTCCTTCCTTCCTTCCTTCCTTCCTTCCTTCCTTCCTTCCTTCCTTCCTTCCTTCCTTCCTTCCTTCCTTCCTTCCTTCCTTCCTTCCTTCCTTCCTTCCTTCCTTCCTTCCTTCCTTCCTTCCTTCCTTCATTTCTCTTCCATTCTGATCCCTTATTCTTATGCTTAGCTGAGTAACACCATTGAAATATGCAAAAGCCAGCCTCCACAATTTCCTCATGCAGCAAAAAAAAAAAAAAAAAAATTAAAAATTATGGTGTGTAACCATACAGTATTCTGATTCATTTTATAGATGGTCTCCAGGAAGTGTAGAGCAATGTAATGGAGCATGAGGATGAATCTCAGTACTGTCTGAAGAAAGGATGTTTAAGGGCTAACCCATTTCACAGATGCAAGGTATAAAACATTAGTAAAAATTTTTGAATGCAGTATTAGAAAGATACATTTCATGTACATTTAAAGAGTTTTTATCATGGCACTTCTGCCAACAAAATAACTGTTACATCTTACTTTCCTAATTGATAACTAATTGCTTCTTATATCACTGGTAGTGACGTGTTGTTGGATCCTTTAAGGCTGACAGATTACTATAGACACAATACTGGAGTTCTTTAAGAACACTTATGAGAACATCTTTGAAATGTCTTTATTAAAAGCAATAGCATCTTTTCTAAATGGTGGATGGCAGCTGGCTGTGTGCCCTCACAGCCCAGAAAGCCAGTAGAATCCTGGGCTGCATTCAAAGCAGTGCAGCCAGGAGGGTGAGAGAGGGGATCTGCCTCTCTGCTCTGTGCTGTGGACCTCATCTGGAGCACTGTGTTCAGATATGGAGTCCTCAGTATAGGAAAAACATGGACCTGTTGGAACACATCCAGAGAAGGGCCACAAAGATGATCCAAAGGATGGAACAACTCTACTCAAAGGACAGGCTGAGAGAACTCACTGCAGGACTGCTCAGCCTGGGGAAGAGAAGGATCTGGGGAGAGCTCAGAGCAACTTTGAGGTGTATATGGGTGGATATAAGAAACAAGGGAACAGACTGTTGGTCTGTTGTGATAGGACAAGGGGAAATTGTTTCACATAAAAGAGGGGAGATTTAAACTGAATGTAAGGAAAAAGCTTTTTTATAAGCTATCCTTATATAGTAAGGATAGTCAGGCACTGGAAGAATTGCCCAGAGAGGTGGTGGATGCTGCATCCCTGCAGACACTCAAGGTCAGGCTGGACAGGGCTCTGAGCACCTGATGGAGCTGTGGGTGTCCCTGTTCATTGCAGGGGAATTCAACCAGATGGCCTTTGGAAGAATCACAGAATCACAGAATCACCCGGGTTGGAAGGGACCTCAAGGATCATGTAGTTCCAACCCCCCTGCCTAGCAGGGCCACCAAACATCCACATTCAGATCAGGTTGCCCAGGACCCCGTCCAACCTGGCCTTGAACACATCCAAGGACGGGGCATCCACAACCTCCCTGGGCAGCCCGTTCCAGGGCCTAACCACTCTCCTTGTAAAGAAAGGGTCCTTGTAAAGAAGGGTCCCTTCCAACTCTAAAGATTCTGATTCTATGATTAAATGGAAGAAATCAGTGTCAGTGTATGAATTTGGAGAGTGTGTTGCTGGATAGTGAGGATGTTTTATTTGGAATCAGTGACCTGAGCTCCCGACACAGCCAATTAAGTCATCTACACTCAAACCCTTGTATTAAAAAACAAAGAAAACAGCTTGAACACATAGTCCACTCTAGACTGTCATTTGCTTCAGGGAGCAGGGTATCCCTTGATATTTGCCAAGAAATGTGACTCATTTTAGGAACTTAAGAGGTTCAGTGTACAGGAAGAAGAGCACATGCATAGACACACATACAAGTATTTCCACTCAGGCTTTACAGGGCATCTAATTCTCATGGGCATTGACTCAGAAGCTTGACTTAATAACACAGATGGCTGGAAAGCCCATACATCCTCTGCCTACTGTTGCAATGTGATTTGCCTATTTTTGTGCATGAGATACTAACCAGTCCTTGCTTAGCAAAGTCATGAATGCTGTCAGAAGAACTCCTCAGGCGTAAATGGAAAAGCTACAGATGTAATGAAATAATTTGTCAGTGTGGATGGGGATAAGAGGTTGTAGGAAGTTTTGTTTGCTATTTAGAAGAACTCAACTTACTTTTTCTACCCCCTGGCTTGAAAGGATAGGAAAAACTAGAAGGCACAAAAGGGAAATAAAATACATTGCTTGCTCATTAGCAGAAAGAAACAACCCAGAAAGCTGTCCAACAGATGCTCTCCAAACCACTCGTAGTTCTGAAGAGACCAGAAAGGAGCATGCAATTTCTCTTTTGGAAATTTGTACCCAGATGACAGACGTGCACTTGCACAAAGCCAGACAAAATAAATCAGTTTTGTTTTTTTTTTTAAATTAAAATATTAATGATCTTGCAGTGATTTTGTAACAGTTTTTTTTTTTTTTTTCCTTTGTGCTGAAGGAGGCCAGTAAGTTTTTCATCCATCACAACTCTTTCTTTTCTAAATAGCAGACAATAGGAGAATATAAAATTAACCATTTCTCCACCTGTGTCTCAAACTCAGAAGGCTGGGCAGATATCTGATGGGTAGTTTCCAGCTGAAGAGTACAGCTTCATCAAAACTGATAATGCAGAGTGTGGAAACCTGAAAAGAATGGGTTTCCTGGATAGCATGGCTCCTCCACTTCTTGGCATCTTCCTTGGCTACTCATTGATAAATAAGATATCTGAAGGGACATTTCTCAGGCTGTGAAATGCCCCCACTCAACAGATATCCTTAGAGCATGCATCAGTGCTCTGAGCAACACAATTCAGTAAATAACTCTCTCAAGATTGATTGTAATAAGAAAGCTTGAGTTTTGCAAAGGAAAAATTATAACCTGCTCCATATAAAATTTAGAACGGGCGATTTTGACCCAAACCAAGTTTGATATTAGGAACAATTTCTTCTCAGAAAGAGTGGTAATGCAGTGGCACAGGCTGCCCAGGGAGATGGTGCAGTCACCATCCCTGGAGGTGTTTAAGAACAGTAGAGATGTGGCACTGAGGGAGGTGGTCAGTGGGCACGGTGGGGTTGGGTTGGGGTTGAATGTGATGGTCAGGGTCTCTTCCAACCCAAATTATTCTATGATTCTATGAAAAACAGAAGGCAAACATCAATTCCTGCTTTTTTAGGCAGGAAATATCATACTTGTCTCTGCTTCCACAAAGCATGGAGATAATTGTGTCAGGTGTCCCAAGAACTGTTGCTTCCTTCTGCTGTCTAAGGCTGAAGAGCTACTCCTTGTCACTGTAACATTGAACATCCCTTCTACAGTAGGAAAAAAAGCATCTCCTTCACAACAAGGCTTCCCATCAAAATTTGTAGGCTTGATTGTCTGAGAATATGTTGTTCCTTATGGCTGACTTGCTGCTAAAAGTGTTCACAGATACAAAGAGCCCAATAAAAGTATTTGATACAGCAAATTCTCAGCTACAAAGCATTATTCTTCAACTCAGCCACTACCATTATCTGTGAACTGTTGCCAGCAATGAACAAGAGACTGCACGCCAACTTGTAAAATCTGCATGGTTGTCTAGAATGTGGCTTGTCTTTCACATTGCTGTCATCAGTGTCTCACTGTGCTCACACCCACTGTTTGGTCTCTATAAACATTCAGCAAGCATCAATGAATTTCAGTGAGTGCCATTTTTTCCTCATGGGGGAATTCAATGACATTCTTTTGCTTCATATGCACTTCTATGTCAGACATTATTTTGTCAATACCTCTCTACTGTTGTCTGTCACATGGCAACAAAATTTAATGGGATGTTGGTGGGAAGGTTCAACCTCTACTGCCATATTACCAACATCTACCTTTGACATTGTGGTCTTTCCCTGGACTGGGCTACAATCCTATTCAGGACAAAAGCTGAGGATCTTCCTGTACTCTCTGAGGAACCGAATGAAAGATTTCATTCAGTGCACCCAGCAAGCTGGAGCAGCCTCACAAAGAGAGCTTGTTCCCATCTCACCACCAGCTCTGCAGGTTTCAGGCCATCACCTCTGAGCTGAAATGGACTGAGCACTTTGGGGAAAGCTTTAGCCCCAGGGGAAAAAGCAGCTCAGAGAACGTGAGGCTGCTCATGAGAGTCCCTCACATGCTTCCCACACGCTCAGTCCAACGAGTTGGATGGAGATCAACAAAGCTTTATGAGGGCAAGATGATACGTGCTGGCGTACGGTACCAGGGAACAGGTTACAAGCTCAGCAACTGCAAAATAAACAAACAAGTAAATAAATAAATATGATTAAAGAAAAAAAGAAAAAAAACATCAGAAATTATCTCATCCTTCCCCTATCTGACTCAGCAAGGATCTCTCACAGCTATCGATAAGCAGGCTCTGGCTTCTGACATCCTGTTTTGCACCCTGCCTGGTATCAGGTGGGGGCTGATTGCTCCAGTCTGATCTCCGGAATAGAAAGTAAATGAAAATGAATAAATAAACACGCCAATTAATTAATTAGTGATGGTGATGGAAATGGAAACTAAAAATCATGAAAATAAAAGATAGAACCAATTACTACTTACAAAGAAGGCTTTATCTGGCAGCGAAAGTCGCAGTCTCGAGGGTCCCTCCAGATGTGCAGTTGATGCTGCTCTATCCTGCAGTACACCCAGCTTCAGGCCCTTTCCCACAGGCTCTAAAAGAAATCTGAAAAGCAAGACGGGCTCCTGCTACAGCCAGACTCCTCCAGCTGTTGTGGATCCAGGACGGTCCATCAAAGCTGCCTCGATGGATGCCAGCAGAGGATCTGGCCCACTCATTTACATTCATGACTCCGTGGCGCAGCTGGCAGCTGTGAAAGGGCTCATTTGGAAGGCAGCGTGGCTGGGATCAACATCACTTAAGTGATAATCTGCTAATCAGAGCTTCTTCTGTCGGGAGTAATGCTCCCACCTCGTCTTTCCCTGCTGGCAGTTTTCTCCTGCAAAGCTTGCCAAATCATTTTAGCTCCTGGCTGTTTTGGAGGGGTTTTCCTTGCTCACCTCCCAACTGGAGTTTGCCCTTGGTTCTGGCCATGCATTGAATGACAACACACACACACAGAAAAAGAAGAAAGATCGATTCAAGCCCAGGTGTGCTGCTAGGGACATCCGGTCTGCCATGTGACTGGCAGGAACGGAGAGAGAGGCCTGGGGTTTTTTAGGAGCAAAAAAAGCATATGGAGAAAAGTGAGGAGGTTTGAGGCACTCACTTCTCCTTTAGGACAGGAATGCTGTTGCTCGTTGCTCTGCAGATATCACTGAAACAGCTAAGCTGTGGAGAGCCACAGGCAGAGTAGCCATATCTGAAAAGTGTTGTGAAATTTTCCAGGTTGCTGTTTTGAAAGAAGGAGCTGATAAATAACAAAAGTCCCTCACTAGGAAGAGAAAAATAGAGTATAAGCCAGAAATGGCACCAGTTGCTGCTCTGCAGGGAAAAACCCAGGGCTCTGATCTCCATTCCACTTGGTTTATCTGGGTCCAAAGCATCAGCCTACAGCAAGGAGAATAACAGAGATGGGATAAGGCAAGAGCACATGTTGCTTTGTAGAGCCTGTCTGCCCCACCTTATCTGTATGAAAACACAACCAAATGGATGCCAAGCCTATTGCTGATGAGGATTGTCCTTCACCTACTTGCATACCCTGAGCTCCTTTTGTACAGTTTGTTTCATCTAGAGGTCACTGTCTGAAGCCACTGACAACTGTGTTCTACTGCTGACTTTGTTAGCCCATCTGGCCTGCTTCAGATGCAAAATGCCTTTGGGTTCATCTGTCACCTCCTACAGTCCTTTGTCTACCTTAACCCAAGACCTCAACCCCACATGCCTCATCTCTCTCTTTTCCCAAACCATTTACAGCTCTGTGATCTTCTTTCTGACACATTCTCTGCATCTTCTCATGTAGGGCACCCAGCCCCACCGTGTTGACTTTGCCCCATTTACTGAATCACGTTGTAAACCATACTGTAGGGCATTAGAGGAGTTGACCACATCTATGACCCCATCTATGACCACATATCATAAGCATTTCTGTGTACTTAAAGAAGTAAAGAGCCTTTGCAGAAAAATGTAATTAAAATGTTATTCATTTATTTATTTTTGAATTTTTCCTGTACAGAAAAATCTATTTATTACTATTTTTTATTTCATACCACTCGGAGGATGGGGTTTAGAAGAAATTGAAACAAAACAGAAGAGAAAGCTGCTGAAAACCAAAATACTGTCCCAGGAAGTGTTTTAATAGCTTTGACTCTCACCCTCATTCTTCTTGAGCATTTGATTTTTGTGAGTACAAAAAGCCTATTTTCCTTATTCTGACATTCATTTCCAAAGCAGCCCTGTTCCTTGAGTGCTGGATGCTAATGGAGAAAGCCATAGAACAGCTTAGGCTGAAAACATCCTCAAAGGTCATCCAGTCCTAACCCTGGTCTATGAGCAGGTTTACCACCCACCAGATCAGGCAACCCAGAACCCCATCCAACCTGGCCTTGAGCACCTCCAGAGGTGGAGCATCCACAGCTTCTCTGGGCTTTTCATCTGGCTTCTCAGTTTGCAGTGTGAGAATTTTTCACCCTGGGTTTTGTCCACGAGACCCAGAGCAGATGTTTTCTTAAAGAGCCAACAAAGAAGCCATCACACACCGCTTCCAGTCATCTCAGCCAAGAGTTACGACTTCAGCTTTGTATAAACAGTGTCAATTACACCTCTATTCTACTCCTTCTCCTCTCTGACCATGTAAAAATAGAATGTTGACAACAAAATTCTGCTCTTTACAACACATGTAACAAAAATGGCCAGAAATTCATCATGGCTATCTGGCTAAATGCACAAACGCAACGTGTCCAAAGCTGCTGCTTGTATATTTTGGCCTTGACTTTGCAAACAAAACACCAGCAATAGCCAAGTGAAAACAGAGCAGAAAAGGCTGTCTCACCCTTGGTGACACTTGGTCATTGGACTGGCTTCTTGCACAATGAGGGATTTTTGCAGCGTGGCTGTCAACCCCATCCATGTCAGACCTTTCCCTCCCCTGATCAAAGGCTTTGGCTGATGTAAGTCGTGATGTTTCACTGAACCTGAGTGACCCAGAAGAGAAAGGACAAGAGGTGTTTTATCCAGGCTGGGATCTCATCTCCACCAGAAGGGAAACATTCATCCAGCTGGGAGGAGGAGATGTTTATTATTAGGCCATGTAAAAGTTAGGTACAATACAGAGCCAATTCACAAGAGCAATAATTCCTGGTCAAAACCATAGCCAGTTTAGATTGATTATGTATTTTTTTATGATGTTTTACATCAGTGGGAGGATCTAAACATTTTGGTTTGTTGTAAGATGTTAGAGAAACTCAGTTCAACACGTGCCATACCCAAGGGTCTCCTTAAAATAGCAACATTACAAAGGCTTCTTTTAGTGCCGCATTCCTTCTGGGTTCATTATGCACACATTCATGGATGCAATCTGAAAGAAAAACAAAACAAAACTTAGATGTCCAAATTACCTTTGCCTTGACATAAAAAAGATGCCTGGAACAGATCTGCAGGAGAATGGAGTCCTGTGCCCTCCAGTGGGAAGAGACCGGACAAACAACAGCAGGCATCTGGACATGCAGAAGAGCTCATCTCTCTCTCAGAGGTCTGCAGAGAGGGAAAGAGTTGCCTTGTAGCCTTGGCTGAGAGAATGCACAATGTCTGGAGATGAATAGATATGATAAAAGCATCTTCCTGGGACACAGCCCCAAAAAATGAGCAAACTCAGCTGTTTCTTGTTTGGCCTCGCATAAATCAGAATTTCCAATGGCAGTAGGACCTAAAAGCAGAGGGCCTGATCCTCAGCACCCAATGAGTCAGGATGAGAAAGAGAGAACCTTTTCACGTGGGGAAAGAAGTTTTGCTTGGGAAGAGAAGTGCTGGGATGATGCAGATTGGGAAATTCTCACATGTTCTCCTCTGGTGCCTGACTGGGAGCTCCAGCTGTGGTTTAGACCTTAAGGTGTGCCAGGGGAGGTTCAGGTTGGATGTTAGGAAACATCCTTTCACCAAAGAAGTGGTGATGCAGTGGCACAGGCTGCCCGGGGAGGTGGCGGGGTCACCATCCCTGCAGGTGTTCCAGAACCATGGAGATGTGGCACTGAGGGATGTGGGCAGTGGGCATGGTGGGGTGGGTTGGGGTTGGTGATCTCAGAGGTCTTTTCCAAACTTCTATTTCTGTTTCTAAAAATTCTATGATTGTTTGATTCACTGTGGCTTTAGAGGGACCTCAGCCATACAGTCCAACTGCTCAGCTCCCACAAGCCTGCTCTGCTCACCTCTTCTGTCCTCACTCCTATCTTTCACAGAGCCATGGGAGCTGGCTTACATCCTCTACTTGAGGAAACTCCTCTTTAGAGCTGCATTTGATGCTCATGACTCCAAAGACCTGCAGCCCTTGCAACTCCTATCCTCCCAGAAAAGAGCAACGAAGCAGACTGCTTTAATTGGATTTAGGGAATCTTATTGTATTGGATTTACTTTGCTTGTAGATAACAGGGATCCAGAAGAACATCCGTCATAGTCTTGGTGGCCATAAGATTGGGTTCTGCTGGGCCGACTTTGAGCTGGGGCTGGACGGAGGGAAGAGTTTCCTTCTTGCACAGCTTCAGCAGTTTCTGCCTTTAATCATTAAATGATTGGATGGAGAAATTACCAGCCTAAAGACATCCCTGGCCCAGTTCCAACACTGGATACAGGGGAGTGACCAAAGTCTGGATGTCTCCTAAACCGTATCAGATCCTGTTTTATTTTACACCACCTCCCTGTAACAGGGGGAGGTGGGGAGTAATGCAACATATGAACAAAACTATTGCTTCTTCCCTCTTTCCCACCCAAATGATAATAACAAAAAACAGCAAAAGAGATGCTATGGGGCCCATGAAACTTTGCAGCAGAGTTGTTTGGGTTTTTTTTCTTTCCCCTCTTCTTCTCAGAAAGACTATAGAGCCCCAGGTACACATTTGCTCAGTTTGCCCCACACTAAAACACGTGCAGACGCTCAGTTCCCACCAGGGATGGAGGCTGTCCCACCCCTTCAGGTTGAGCAGACTGGAGAGAAGTGAGCCAACAGCCCCCTCAAAATGAAACGAAACGAAGTAAAGCAGCAGAGGTGGAAATACCTTCCCCAGGATTCCCCTTAGGGAACCTCCTTTTTGAACCCCCTCCCCCCAGGAACTATATTTTTAATCCCTACGTGGGGCATAAATTTGGGAACAGCGTGGATGAGGGGCAGTGAGGCAGACTGACGGTGTTGGGGTGGATAGGGGGGTTGGGGGGGGGGAGCAGTTTGGCTTCATCGCTTTTAAATCCTTCATCCCAAACCTTCGCGTGGGTGCCCCCTTCAGCACGCATTGCCCAACCGGAGAACAGGGGGTGGGACGGGGGTGGGGGTGGGGGGGGGTGGGATGCGGTGAGGTGCGGTGGGAAGGGCTGCGGGATGACCCCGTGCCTCTCAGCCCAATGGTCAAAGGCTGAGTACGGCCGACCAATGGTAACCAAGCCGGAGGGGGGGCTCTTATACCTTCCCCGCTCTCCCTGCGGTGCAGAGGCTGGCAGAGAGAGGCAGAGGGCTGGCAAGTAGGAGGAGGAGGAGGAGGAGGAAAAGATTGCATCAAGAGCAGCACTTTTTTTTCCCCTCCCTCTCTCTCTCTCTCTCGCTCTCGCTCTCTTACAGGAAGCCCTACTCTACCTTAGCCTTGGAAAGAGCCCCTTTTCATAAAATTAGCTGAAGGCACCTATTCACAGCCATGGGGCCGTGAAAAAAAAAAAAAAAAAAAAAAGCAACAAACCGACTGCAGAGGGTTCTTTTTTTTTTTTTTTTTCTTTTTTTTTTTTCTCTCTCTCTTTTTTTCTCTCTTCGCTCCAAAAAAATAAAAGAGAAATGTGCACAGCTCCGCTCGGCGAAAACGCGTTGTTTTTACCGTCTGCCCTCCGGCAGGGTATAGAGGTCCGTTTGGTTTGGTTTAGGGTGTTTTATTTTTATTTTATTTTATTTTATTTTTCTTTCTCGCTCCTTATTTAGCTCGCTAAATCACAAAATCCGGGAAGAAAGAAGGGGGAAAAAAAAAAAAAAAAAGTGAAAAGGAAAAGCGAAGCAAAGCAAAGCGCGGGAGTTGATGTCCAAAGTTTCCCCAGTCATTCAACCCGCAGCGCAGCGCTGTGTCCCGCCTGCTGCATCCCTGTCCCCTCCTCGCTTCTCCTCCCACACAGAAAATAAACCCGATCAGGGGGATGGCTGCCGGAGTTTCACCCCCAGCGGCATGGCTTTGGGGGGGTTATCGTGTTGTTATTTTATTATTATTATTTATGTGTGTATATATATATATATGTATATTTACCTTGCAATTTTATGAATGAAAGCGCCCGGCTGAGCTGGGAGTACCATCCCCAGCCCTGAAACAGCGATGCTGGTGACATCCACGGGGAGTGCGAGATGCTGGGGATATGGGGGGGAAAGCGGGGATGCGATGCGCTGTGGGTTCCACTGGGGCTCCTCCTTGCGGGGCACGGAACGAGGACTGCTCTCTTCCGTGAGAATGAGAGAACGGGAAAAAATTCAAACAGTAAAGACACAGAGGAGAATCGAAAAAGATTTCAGAACATCTCGCGGAGGGAAAGTCGTTTTTTTCTCTTTTTTGGCCGCGAGAAAAAAAGTATATTCTAAAATGAAGTACCTAGTGGCGGTAGTAGCCCCCCCCCGGTCGTCAGCCTCACGCCGTGCTCAATCGGCTTTTTGAAACTGCAGATCCTCTGAGGCAGAGAGGGGAGAGAGGAGCGAAAAAATCCCGATTAGTAACTGAAACACACTGCGACCCGGAGGGCTGGAGAATAAACCGATTGTGGAGGCGAAACGAGCGGCGATACACCAGCAAAAAAAAAAAAGAAAAGAAAAAGAAAAAAAAAAAAAACCCAGAGCACCGCTGTTTGCGAAAAGGTAATTGAGGAGGGAAAATATTGCCAAGTTTTCGCTATTTTTTTTTCTCCCGTAACTTTCTGCTCTGAGAGCTGCTCGTGTGGCCGAAAGAGAAGAAAAAGAAGAAAAAAAAAAAGGTGTTTTTTTTTTTTTCTCTCTCTTTCCAAACCCCTCCGAAACCCAAAAGATAAAATTACTGGATCTAAAAATAAAGCCGTGGTTTAAAGCTTCCCCCACCCTCTCCGATCTCCCACCCCTTCCACCCCTCTCTCGCCTTTCTCCCTCCCTCCCTCCCTCTCTGCCTCTTTCTGTGTGTTTGCGTTTGACAAAGAAATTATTTGAACTTCCCACTGCCTCATAAAAAGGAAACAGAAGAGAGCGGCTTTGACATATGGATGTGATTTTTCTGCTCTGAGACAGATGCACGCGGAAAACAACCAGCACCGGGGGCTGAGGAGCTGAGCGAAGCCGAAGTCGCTCCGCTTCTTCACATGGGTTCTTCCGTTGCCTTTCGGGAGCTGCCCGCATCTCCAGCCATGAGAAAGCGAAGCAAAGGACCGGGTTTTCTCGTCATGTGCCTTTCTGGCTAAAAACAAACAAACAAAAACAAACAAGCAAACAAACACCGGTTCTGGAAAGTGAGGGGGGGGTGGGGGGGGGAGTTGGAGGGAGGGAAGGAGAAGGAGAAATCATCTGCGAGAGGAGAGCTGGAAGACCTCTCCGTCCTCCAACTTCCCCGAGAGAGCGTGGATGCTGGAAGGAGCCCCTTGGATATGGGATCATATCTGGTTTATCACAGCCTGGGTTTGATCCTCTGCTGCTCCGTGCTGAGCTCGGTCTACGCTCTGGTGAGTGCCTCCCACCCTTCTTTTCTCGGCTGTTTCCTTGACGAGTAAAACCGTTCTGCTTTTTGGGGGGATTTGAGGAAGCAGAGAGCCACTTTTGCAGCCCCGGTGGCTGATCTCGCTGCTTTCCGAGCTGCTGCACCAGATGAAATTAAAAATGTCTGTGCTTCCCGGAGAGTTTGAATCACTTTTCAGTCCCTCCGGACGGGAGCGCGTGTAGTTTGACAGGGAGCTGCTCCGGGAAAGGCGTTTTGGGGGATCACTCAAAAGACACCTCCCAGGAAAGGGCGATTTTTCCTTTTTTTTTCCTTCCTTCCTCTCTGTCTCTCTGCCTCTCTGTCTCTCTCTCTGTCTCTCTCTCTCAAAAAAAAAAAAAAAAAGAAGGACGTTTAATTTTTATTTCATTACATTTCCATTTAATCTTCCTAATTTGCAAATCTGCAAAACAGTGCCTTGCTTTCCGAGATTGATTTTGGAGAGCGTGGGGACTGCAGACAGTTTACACACAGGAGCAAACTGTGAAAGTAGTATTAACCCTTTGCTCCCTGGCACTATTTTCACCTGCTCCTGTTCACACCAAGGAAGAAAAACTTTACAGAAGTGACCAAAAAGGGCTAAAGGCTGCCCAAGCTGCCTTGATGGTGGTGATGGGCAACTGGTTGAGATGCACAGACACTCTCTCACCAAAGTCCTGCCGCAGAAATCAAGTCACACAGAAATCAGCCACCAGATATCAACTCATCGCTGGGTGTGCTGCTTTGACACGTGCTTGGCTTCCTTTCTCCATCCCTGATGGAGTGGTGATGGGTGGCATCAGCATCACTTGGTCAGTTCTTGGTGTACGAAGTGGCACAGCCACCACCTGACCACCAGACACCACTCAATGCAGTGTCTGCTCTCCAGGAGGGATGGAGATCATAGAAATCATAGAATTACTACGGATGGAAATGACCTCTCAGATCATCTAGTCCTACTGGGGTGTGTTGGGAAAAGGGTTGACCCCAGTGCTGGTTCTGTTCAGGTCCTCTCCAATGGGCTGTCACATTCTTTTGGGTTTGGTAGGAACTCATGCAGGGCAGGTGGGGAGGTATTTCCCCATTTCTAGCATCGTGCTGGGGGGAAACATCAATATATGAGAATAGACAACCTCTTGGAAAACAGTCTCCGTCACAATCCATCCCGGTCTTGATCTAACTAATCTTTAACTCAAAGGCCAAAGAAAAGTGAGGGGTGCTGAGGGGCAGAAAGTGTAGGTACAGTGAGGCTTTAGTGACATCTGAGGTTTCTTCTATGTTCTTGGGTTGGGTTAGCATATCCATCACCACGGTGACTTTGCAGGCTCTGTGGGATCTGTAACACCTGCTGTCCCCATATACAGCCATAATGCTGCCAGAGTCAGCATCAAAAATCCCGTTAGGGCTGAACCAGCTCCATTAGAGCTGAGCAAACTTCAGTATCTAGAAAAGATAGGCAAGAACCGACAGCCCACCTTTACTCCCTGTCCCATTTTGGTCCCTGTCCCAGTACATCCCAGTATCACCAGAAGGCACAAGGAACAGCCAGTGAGCCATTGCTCAGTGTCTGCTATCTCCTGTAGCTGTTCAGGAACTGCAGAGTTAACCTGTGAAAAAAAACGCTGAGGGTAGCTGCAGAATGATAGGGATGGAGGGACTTAACTTAGAGCTAGACTGTGTGACAGCTTTGGCTGGGCTAAGAGCGGTACCCAGTCCTCCATCAAAGGGTCAGGAGGATTCTCTTAGAATGATGCAGTGAGTTCTTGGAACTTCAGGGCATGATTTATCTGTCTGGGGCAGGAGGATGTGAGGTTTGAAGACATGGGACTGCAGGATATGAGATTGGAGGACATGGGACTGGAGGGCATGAGGTTGGAGGTTGTGGAACTGGAGGACGTGAGTTTGTAGAGCTGTGGTTGTTGGGCTCTTTGCTGCTCAATCCTTTGCATCCCAGAGCTGATGAAGCCCAAAGCACCGTGCCTCCTAAATCTGAAGCTGTCATTCCCTTTGATCAGTAGGCAAAAGTGGCAAAAAAAGTGAGAAAGGGATGGGGAATGATGTTTCTGATGGTCTGCGCTGGTGCTGTGTGTGTGTCCCCACATTAAATCTAAGCATGGGGGGAATTCAGGCACACTTTAAATTGCAGTGGGAGTGGGTTCCATTGCAAAAGGAGTGAGTGATGCTCTGTTCTCCTCCAAACCCCCCAGCAATCTGGGGAAGCCCTCCTCCTTGCCTTTCCCCTGGAATATTCCTAATTAACACGTGCTTAAGCGGTGGCAGAAATCAGTTTATCAATTGAGTGCTTTGCACTCCAGTCTGGCAAGAAGAGGAGTAACATTTGGGTCCATTTTTCTATTTGGCGAGAGCAGCCTGAGTCTGACAACCCTGTAGATGCGGGCTTGAAAAGATGATGCATGCAAAAGGAGCTTTAAAAGTGGGTCGAACACCAGCATGAGAGGAGAAGTTCAGACTTTGGCACTGTTTTTATCAGTAAAGCACTGTCAGAACTGCTTGCAGGAAAACCTCCCCGTGTCCCTCCTCCAGCCAATACCCCCATGGTTTGCTCTGCTGAGCTGTTCAGTTCTCAGTTTCGTCCTCAGCTTGAGCCTGCTTATCTCTGTCAGAGATACTAAGAAGAATAATTTAAATATATACATAAAATAAAGCCATACTCAGATGCTGCTGCAGGATTTGGGTTGGAATAACTCAGTTTTGGGAAATGGGTAACAGCCTGAGCCAAGTGCCGAGTTCTGCATGGTTAGGAAAAGTGGGTGCAGGTGTGGGTGGAAAAAAGACACCAAGCGTTGCCTTTCTGCCATCCTCCAGTGCCTCTCAGGAGGTGCTGCCCCTCTGGAGACCGTACTTGGCCAGTAAAACGGGCTCCAGCTCTGCCTGTTGGTTCCCCAGCTCTGGCCCCTCTGCTTGGGCACTGCTGAAGTTTGGTTTTGCAGAGGAGCTGGGACGCTCCCCTGAAAATTCGGGGGGTGTCAATAAAGGATTGAGAGCCCTTTTCTTGTGGGAATTACCCAAAATGTGGACGAGCTTGGCCAGGTCATCGTCAGGACAGTTGGATTAGATGATCCTAGAGGTCTTTTCCAACCTTTATGATTCTGTGGTTCAGGAGAGTCTCAGCCCTCACTCCCAAAAGTGTCCACACCAGTGCTGATGTTGCTCTCCAGCAGGAAGGTAGGAATAAGAAAAGTTGCCCTGCTTCACCCTGGAGGAGCACCAAGTAACAGAGATCCCAAAGCTCTGCAGCAAAGCCATTGGATTAAGGAGGTGTTGGTCGATGCTTTGCTCTTTGCTTCACTCCTTGTTCATCCCTCTGATCAGAACCACCTCTTAATGTATTTGGAAAAGGAAAGGATTTTAGACTGAACCATTCATAGCTGGAAAGAAAAAAAAAAAAAACCAACAACAAACCCAAACCAACAACAACTCCCTGAGAATGGGGCCAATAGTAAAAAGAATAATCATCAAATAATCCTACACAGAGATCCTGCAAATCCTGACTACTGTCTGAATTCATTCAATAAAGACAGCCTCCAAGTGCAAGGAAACAATATCCGAAATGTTCTTTTTCTCCACACGAGCTTGGGAATGTGCCCATCCCTGCCCCTTGTATTTATGAAAGATATGGGGTTTTTTATTGTACTTTGGGATTAGCAGATATCCCTGGACTATAAAATACCTGACCGCAAAATGTAAAGCAAACAGGGCTCTGCATCAGGGCAATAGATGGGCTGTGATTTCACCCTGCAGAAGCCTAAAGCGCTCAGTGGCAAATCGGACCTGAGCAGGCTGGGGTTTGGTGCAGAGGGAACAGAGAATGCAGTGGGGCAAATATGCACGCAGAGGGTCAAGGCTTGAGGATACGAAACCTGAGGTGTGCCTTTTAGGTCCAAGCAGTTGTTTGGTTTCTGACCTCCTAGAAATAGCTCCAAAGCGCTGCTTTGGGATCAGTGGGGTTATCCTTGGGAGAGCAGTGTGTCTGCAGTCCC